TTATACAAGTGGCCCAGCACTTTTTCCCTTTCCCCTTCCCTTCAGCCAGGAGCCCTGGAGGTGAGGGAGGGGTGATTCCTAAGCAGAGCCAAGATGGTCTTGGAGGTACACAGTTCCCTAGTATGGGAAAGCAGTCAGTTCTTATTTCAAAGAGCTTTCTGCTCTTCCCCCTCCCTTCTACATCTGTGCTAACATTCTGTGATTCTTAGAGAACCAAAAGCCCAGAGCCAAGAATGTTCAAGCCAGAAGGGATTTCTAAGAGGAACAAAACAGACAGGGCCTCCCCACGAAGTTCACATGCTGGCTGGGGTGGGGTGGGCTGCCCTGGGCCACAGAACGTGGCTTGCACAGGAATGGAAGGCCAGGGTGATGGAACAGAAGTACAAGAGGGTTTGTTCACATGGGCATAGGGCTGGGGTGAGTGAGATTGAGCCAAGCAAGTGATTTCCTGGATAGACACCCAAAGAACAGGCAATCATAGAAAATACAGACAAGGACATCCTGAAAATACAGAACTTTTGTGCATATAAAAACACTGTGCCCCCGTCTGACAGTGAAATCTGAACTGAGGGTTACATTGAGCTGCTTGCTTCTTCAGGGGCATATTTAGGAAGTCAGCACTATGGTAGAAGACATCAAGACCAAAATCAAGAACTACAAGACTGCCCCTTTAGACAGCCGCTTCCCCAATCAGAACCAGACCAGGAACTGCTGGCAGAACTACCTGAACTATCACTGCTGCCAGAAGGCAATGACTGAAAAAGGGGGGTGGTATCTCTGTCTGCGAGTGGTACCGGTGAGTGCACAAGTCCCTCTGCCCCATATCCTGGGTCACAACCTGGGACGACTGCTGAGCTGAAGGCACATTTACTGGCAAGATCTGAACTGACTCCACCTGTTTCTCTGTCCTCTGTTTGTCTCCTGGTGATAAAGGGGGACCTGGATACATGATGGTCCTACCCTGGGACCCTAAATCATGACTTATCTCACAATAAAAACTGTGGAAAAGTGTAAGAATAATAAAATAAATAAAACACTGTGGAGAGAGTGAAAAGGCAACCTGCAGAATGGGAGAAAGTCTTAGCAAATTATATACCTGATAAAGGATTAGCACCCAGAATATGTTACATACTTCTAAAGACTCACCACCAAGAGCTAGAAAATAAAACTCAATTCAAAAAAAAAAAAAGGAGCAAAGGATTTGAATAGATATTTCTCACAAAGATATTTCTCCTTCCATTCCTGTGCCTTCAGCTCATTGATCATACAGAAATGATCAATAAACACCTGAGAAGATGTTTGGTGTCACTAACTTGGGGCGAATGCAAACCAGCTACAAGGAAACCCCACCTCACGCTCATTAGAATGGCCTCCCTCAAAGCCCCAGAATGACAACCACCCAGGAGGTGCGGTGAGACCCGGCACCTGTGCACTGCTGGTGGGAATGGGAAATGGGGTAGCTGCTGTGGGAAACCGTTTGGCAGTCCCTCAAAAAGCAAAATATAGAATTATCCTACGATCCAGCAATTCTTGAGTGTGTTCCCTCAGAGAGAAGATGCAGATGATATTTGTGCACCATGCTCTGACCATATTACTCACAGCAGTCAAAGGGTGGGAGCAGCCCAGGTGTCCCTCAGCTCACGAATGGATCAGCAAAAAATGATAGCTGCGTCTATCCGCAGGGGAAGCACGTCCACAAGGGAAGTATCCTCAGCTACAGGAAGGAGAGAGGCACAACACATGCCCCAGCGCAGATGAACCGCGGAGACACCACGCCAGGGGGAGGAAGCCAGCCGCAGGAGGACACATGGTGTGCAATTCTCATCCTGTGGGGTTCCTAGAGCAGGTAAAGTCAGCCACAAGGCAGATTTGAGGTTCCAAGGAGCTGGGTTTGGCCGCAGATTGGAGAGCTTTTACTTAGTGAGTATGGAGTTTCTGTTTGCAGGAATAAGAAAGCTTTGAAAGTAGCTAATGGTGGTCACACAGCACTGTGAATGTAATCAATACCACCGAAGCACACCTTAAAAGGGTACATTTTATGTGATTACATATTTATCACAATTTTTTATCACAATTTTTTTTAAAGTCTTTCATCAAAAGCCATTGAATTGTACAATTTACACAGGTGAATCACATGGCTTGTAAATGTAAAACAAAAACCAAAACAAAAACAAAAACAAAAAACAAGAGAAGCAGAGAGGAGCACCCCGTCCATCCCAAGACCCATGAGAAGATGCGCGGGGCCACAGGGAGTGGAGGGGCAGGCGCCAGCACCTCTCCCGGCCCACACTGCTCCCGGCTCATTCTGGGCTGCGCACAGCCTCCCTTGGAAGCCAATTTTCTGCACAGTGAAAATGTTTTCCCTCATCCCACTTGAGCAGATGGCCCCCCACCTTGGCCTGAATTGAGAAGCACAGAAATCAAACAGGGGACAGACGGCCTCCTTGGCAGTGTCGTACAGGCACACAAGCCTGAGAGCTCACACACAGCCCCTGCCCCGCCCGCGGGCTTCCTCATTCCTGCATACTGGAGCTAGCCTGTGCCAAGCTGGGCCTCCAGAGACCCTGCCTACCCTGCCTGGGCTCCCAAACCTGTTGCCTGGTCCTGGAAGGTACTCAGAGACACCTCCTGGAGGAACAAGGGAACAAGCATGCTGTTGGGGCCTTGCCTGTGATTTTCCAGCCTGCAACTCTTCCTGCTGGGGCCCTGTTCCCTTCCTGAGGGGAGGAGGTAGAGCGTGCTAGGACAAGGGTGGAGAAGTGTGACCCGCAGGTTTTGGAGAGGCGTGCAGAGACCCCAGTGGAAGGCCACCAGGGTGAAAAAGCATGATAGCAGAGGGTCATGAGCAAGTGGCAGAAGCCAGAGTTCCACAAGCAAGGACGTGCGGGGCTTGCTGTAGGAAGGGTCAGGTAGCCCCTGCAGGGATACTGCTGGTCCTTACAGGGCAGGCAGACTGACCCTTAGGCTCTGGAAGAGCCTGAAGAGGCCACACTGATCACTCAGGCTGTCCCTGTCACTCTAAGCTGGAGGAGCGGGCCGGAGAGATGGTTCAGTAGAATAAGCACTTGCCTGGCAAGCGCAAGGGTCTGAGTTCAATCCCTGGTACCACCAAAATAAATAAATAAATAAATAAAAATAAGCTGGAGGAGGTTAGGGAGACCCCCATTGACCTTCCCAAGTGACCATGTCAGCTTGGCCAAGTGCATGTTCCTTCCTGGAGGGGCTGGGAGACAAAATTATTTCCAGGCTTTAAAAATCTCACTCCTGGGGCTGGGGAGATGGCTCAGTAGGATAAGTGCTTGCCTGGCAAGCAGAAGGGCCTGAGTTCAATCCCCAGTTCCACAAAAAAAAAAAAAAAAAAAAATCTCACTCTTAGGAACATTTATGTGGATGTCCAATATGAAGGGAAATGTGTGGCCCAGTGCATTCAGAAGAGCTTGTGGCCTCTCCTGGGACTAAGCTACTTGCCTAGACTTGAGTGAAGAGGTACATTCTGCTCCCATGGTGACATTTTAAGCAGCCGAGGCTGTTGTAACTCTGCCGAGTATGGGACATGGGTGTGTATGACACTTCACCCTTTGACCCCTTGCTCCTTGAGATCAGCAAGGAGAGGGACACTATCTGGCTGCCTTGGGGGAGGGGACATGGGACTGTATAGGTTAGGACCCCATCATGCAGGCTGCTCCTCCCCAGGGGCCAGGACTGAGCACATTGCCACACTAGCCTGCTTTCTGGAACATAAGACCTAGCCCAGGGCGGGGGGTTCCCACACAGAGCACAAGGCAGAGTAAAATGTGCTGCAGGACTGGCCAGGGCTTGGGTTCCAGCCACACCTGGTCCCCAGGTCTGGGTGTCTCCCCCTCTGATGCTCAGTGGAAGAGATAGGGAAGTGGACAAGCCCCAGAGCCAGTCAGCAGGCAATGAAGGAGAGGCGCAGAAACAGTCGTTGAGGTCCTGTGTGGCAGTGGAGAAGGAGAAGACCCTTGAGAGGTGGCCAGCAGCTGAGGGCTGGCTTGGGCTAACACTAAGCAGATTCTCTGGGGGACACTGCAGGCCAGGAGATATCTCACTGCCCATCCTCAGAGAGACACCCAGAACCCGGTTCTGCACACGCTGCAGAGGACCTCCCCCCCACACACGCACACAGTGGCCATGCGCTGCTCCCCACTCCAGCTTCTGCAGAGAAGGGCAGCTCTCAACCCCTACCAAACCCCGCCTCCTCAGTTCTGGCCAGAGAACACTGGGGCATCAGGCAGGAAATCCCTGGACAATGCCAACAGGAAGCTAGAGGGGCCAGTTCCTCCTGCTAGCTCTGTGTGTGTGTGTGTGTGTGTGCATGTGTGTGTGTGTGTGCAAGCATACGCGCAAGCACACACACACGCATAAGCAGCCCAACCTGCCAGGTTAGTTTGGCTCCATGTTCTCTGATCTCACATTATTGGTGTCCTGAGACCTCTACAACCAAGGAATTTGGATCCTGGTCCTTTTGTCTCTTGGAAGGGAGCGGCTTGTAAATTCTATGTATATACAGACTAGAACTTGGTCAAGGAAACATGACCATCCCCAGCCCAGGATTCCCACATAGTCACTCATGCCTTTTGTCACATGGATGTGGGGACACTCTCAACCTTGAGTGCAAGGAAGTGGTGCAAGGATTTGTTGGCAGGATGTGGCAAGGGAGAACAGACAGAGTTGTTTGGGAATCCCATGCCCAGACCCCAGTAGCATTCATCCAATCAGGAGTGGAAGGGGTGGAGGAGCCAGGAGTTACTCTGCATCTGGTGAGCTGGGAGATCACTTCTCCCTACGCTTCAGTGTCAGCCACCCATGAGAAATGAGGATCCCACTCTAGTACCCAGGCTCTGTTGGGGCTGTCAAGGGGCACAGTGCAATGGAAGCACACAGCATGAGACCTGGGCAGGCAAGGTCGAGGAGGCGAGTGGGGTGGAGCCAGGCTGGGGACATCAGCCAGTTTCAGAAAACAGTCCAAAGAGCCCACAGTCTTTCTTCACTCTTTACTGTGTAAAAATAAACTCAACAATTCATGTCATTTCAGCAAGAAAATGAAAAAAGAAAAAGGAAAGCAAGAATACCAGTAGAAATAGTGCATTTCCAGAATTGCTGATGGGAGGTGGCAGGTCCCATGGTTTTGACCCATTTGATACCCAAAAGGCTGCAGATTGTATGAAAAATGTACAGCTTTGGTTAGCAAATAATGAAAAAGTAAGGTACATCGATTCTCTTTCATATTTTACAGTATATACATTATAACAATATCAACTTTAGGGGGTTTGCTCTTTTTTTTGGCAAATAAGACAAAATTGGGACTCTAAGTATTGGGCTTTTTTTTCTCCTCAATGACATGTTCCCTTTTAATAAATCATACTTCAGCCCACTGTGCACAAGAGCGATGTGTTTCCCACCACTGGCGGAATAAATTTACATGCTGTGTTTGAAGAGACAAAACCATGACTCCTTCAAGCCACACACTGGTGGCCATAAGAACACTAAGGCCTTGGTCTTCTTAGCCTCGCTGCTTCTATCCAGGTTGGCACTGATGCTCAGATCCTCAACCCATTCCACTTCACCAATCAGCTCCCAGACAAAGGGCCCACCCAGAGCGGCCTCTCTGGCCTCCTGGTCCCTTGCTGGACAGACTGCAAACCTCATGCCAGCCTCTCCCCTCCCCCTTACTGCCCACAAGACACCCCCTTGGTCTCAGGTCCCAGGGCTGGTGACAAAGTGATCTTTGTGGTATTAGAAAATAAACTGGGAATCTACAAAAGGAAAAGAAAGCATACAAAATGTATCTCTTTCTTCCAAAATACACGCTTTCAGTCCTATATTTTGGTGGAGCCTGAAAGTGTTTTCAAGGGAGATATAGGTTGAGATAATTTATAGGTTTGTCCTATTCTTTCATAAAAATACTCTTGTTTGGTAATAAACTTTTTCTTCTACAGTAAGAGAAATAATACTGTGTTATCAAAAGCAAGAAGGCTTTACGATTCAAGTGGGATCTAAGCCCCCCAGGGTCTGGGGAGCCTCCGTGGCAGCTCTCCCACCCTGGACCCCCAGGGAGCTGTCGGACACCAGCTCGGCAAAAGCAAACACTGTCTTGACAGTGCTTTTTTATCTTCTTATTTTATAAAATGGCTTACCTGAGAGAGGCATGTATTATTCAGTGCAAGAGGGAACATCAATCAGATTAAGGAGTCAATGGGAACTATGTGGATTAGATTTGCTGCTCTGTCATCTACCTTTCTTGGGGCCAGCAAAGTGCCAAGTATGAACACAGTGAGGGAGTTGAGGGGCTTGGCACCAACTCCAGTTAGGGGTGGGGTGGGAGCTAAATGTCAGCTTCTGTCCCGAGCACCACAGGTGCACCAGGGGGCAGTGGAAGGAAGGGGAAGGGGAACGAGCCAGGAAGCTGGAGGGTCAGGGTCATAGGCATAAGCATCCGGGGTGTGCTCTGCCCTCTCTCTAGGGCAGAGGATGGCTTGTGGTCCTGAACGGACAGCTCCCACCTTCCCACCTGGCAGTGGTGGTGGTCTGGGGTCCATATCGGCAGGGGCAGGGGCTGGTGGCAGGTGCCAGCAGGAGCGCACTGGGCACAGGCGCTCTGGGCTGAGCCAAGAATGGCTCCCACATGGGTGGGGCTCAACCCAGTCTGGAAAAGTGATTCCAAGCTCTCTCACTCTCTCCCAACCACGGTATCACTGGGGCTTGTTCTCAACCTACATGTTTGAGATGTTTCTTGGTGTGTTTGGGGAGTGGGGAGGGGGAGAAGGACGCTGGCCTCTCTCTCAACCCCCTCCAACACCCCTGGCTTGCTTACCCAGACATTTTCGGTAGCTACATGGGTGGTCACAGAACACTGGGTGGCACTCGGCACACAACATAGAACTGGAAAAGTCCATGCAGGCAGGGGAACACACGTTGGACTAGGGAGCAAGGAACACGCCACCCCAAGGAACATGCAAACAGAGAGAAAATCCCTGCAGATCCAAGGATGCCACAACCCGACGGCACTGAGGAAGCACAATTACCTAAGAAAAAGCCACTGTTGAACGACGACACGCAGCATGGTGCCACATCCGCACCCCCTCGCAAGAGTGATGCATTGCAGAGTGGCGACCTGTACCGTGCAGACACCCACGAGTACAGCGACACAGAGACACCGACACAGACACACACAGATGCACTAGGTTTCCGACACACCATGGACCTGCACTGGAGGAGACAGATGCCCCTGTAAGGAACAGCAGGTACACAACCTGTCTCTGAAGAGGTGTCTGCAGCTGCAGACGAGCCAGCAGCACAAAGGATTTCTAGAAAGACTTGCCAGCCTTTCCCAAGCCAGACTCCTGGGCAGAGGGTCCAGGGTGTCCTCAGTGTACCCGGCAGATCCAGGACAAAGCAGGGGCTCACCTTATCCTGGTCATGACTTCTGAAATGTTCACACTCATGACTTCTGAAGTGAACACACACACACACACACACACACACACACACACACACACAGCTTTTTCTCCCCTCTTCCAAGAGACTAGAAGAAAATATTCATGCTGCTTTTCACAAGGAGAAAAGAAGCCAAAGATTCTGGACACAAATCAGTGTCATGGACCAGTGGCAGGTTTGGGGCTGCTGCAAGGCAGAAGGCCCATGAGCCAGAGGAGGGGTAGCAGGTCCTATTCTGGCCAAGCCTGGCTCCACAGGAGGAGTTTGCCAGCCCTGGCCACCTAGGGTCTGGGGATATGGGAGGAATATGGCTGTCATAAGTGCCATGGGGATACCCTTCCCATGGAATGGCTAGGTGAAGTTCCCCAGGGCCTTTGCAGCTGGGTCTCAATCAGCACATGGGTCCCTCATCCAGAAGGCCCCTGCTGGAAGCCTCTGGTCTCCCACTGCCAGAGGCAGCACCAGTGGCTACAAGGGTGTGACATGTCTCAGAAGCTGGCTAAAACGATGGGACAGAGCCACTGAGAACATCTGTAGGCTGTCCCCAGGCCCAAGCTGCCTCCACTGCAGCAGGTGCGTGGGAGCTAGCAGGTGTCTCGTCCCAGCACAGCTAGCCTCAACCTTCAGAGCACACACCCCTAGTGCCAAATAAAAGTCCTCCGTGGGAAGTCCACCCAGCCTTAGCAAACCACTGAAAGACATTTAGGATGTCAATAGAGAGCTGTGTGGCTCTGAAAGAGGTCTGTGAAGGAAGACAAATGCTGTGCTGAAGGAGCTGCACACAGGCAGAGGCTGAAGTTGGCAAACAGACTTCAGACCCATTCTGAGATTCCCCAAAGCCACAAAGAATGGAGGAAATGAAATACCTCATTCTAAAAGAAAAGCTTCACCCAGCCACATATTCAAGTTCACACACACGTGCATAACGTTCTCTCTCTCTCTCTCTCTCTCTCTCTCTCTCTCTCTCTCTCTCTCACACACACACACACACACACACACACTCCCTGCACTGTTCAGAACATCACTGCTACCTGCTCAGCTGTGGTCAGGGCAGGCCTGGGAAACAGTCGGGACTCCCAGGAAGAAGTGGGGTATCATCAGGGACAGAGGAGAGCCAGGACTGCTTCGTGTGCATGAGGATAAAACCAGGCTGTGTGTGCATGTGTGTGCAGGGGCCGTGGCCTTGATTCATTCCTGGGAACGGGAAAGAAGAGACGATGGATCATCACCACACAAGCAGGGTGGGCGGGTGTGGGACCTGGGGCTCAGCCCTGGCTGGAAGCTGTCAGTTGATCTGGCGACAGGCCTCAAATGTCCACTTGGTGGCTCCACCGTAGATCTCAATTTGGGATTCTGCCCAGGCAATGACGTTGCCAGAGAGGGCCTTGGCGCTGCAGGTGGCCAAGTTGTACACTTCCCCTGGGGTCAGCTTGCGGTCCCAGATGTTGAAATGGGCCAGCTCACCTACAAATGCTTGGGTGGCGTCAAATCCACCACCCAGAGTGTCCTTTAAAAAAGAACAAGGGATGAGGATAAAAAGGTCTGCCGGGTGATCTGCAAGCCTGGCTAGCGGAGTGTGGCTGAGTCTGTCTCCCCCCACCAGGAGCTCCCCCAGATACTCTGGGTACCTTCTTGTCTCTTGTCCCTGTGTCTTCAAGTCAGGCATCTTTCCTTCCCTAAAGGGAAGCTCAGGAAAAAAGACTGGTGCCAGACCCCTGTGCTCTGCATTCAGATCTTTCCCTGGGACCCTGAACCCTGCTCCTCCTGCAGCCAGTCCCTTGGCCAGTGAGTGAGGGGACAGCAGGGCTATGGACAGCCATGGCAGCAGGCTTTGGGGTCTCACTTAGACCCCCCTCTGCCAGCTGCAGTCCACTGCATCCCAATAGGAATAAAAGGCTCGACTTCTCTAGCCCTTCATCTCTCTCCCCAGTACCCGATGGGAGATGAACCATTGCATCAGAACTAAATTATTCATCAATAGAAGCAAAATTGGCCTTCCCACAGTGAAGAGAGTGGGGCAGTTACGGAGAGCACTAAATCCAAATTCACTTCTGCCTGAGTTCCTGAAGCTACTCATCCAGAGCAAGTATTTTTCCCTTGTTGCCCTCAGCTTCTTCTCGGCCTGTCTTCACCCCCCCACCCCACCAGCTGCCACCTGTCCCCTTCTCCTACCCGGGCCTCCGATCTGGTACCACATACCTCCCGCAGCCCTAGCCAGTACCTGTTCCTGGCCCAGCACCAGCACACCCTGCGGCTTGATGGGGTGGTAGGGAGCCAGGTTCTCGCCGTTGCCACCCTGGGTGCCATCCTGGTAGGCTTCCCAGACCCCATCCCTGGTGGTCCAGGTGACACAGATGTGGTGCCACTTTCCATCATTGATCACAAAGGGGAGCTTGGCCACCTGGGATGAGAAAAAGGCACTCTGTGTAAGGGTTTGGGAGTACCACAAATCAGTGGTGCTTCTTTCTCATTCCACTTTTCAAATTTATACCGGGAGCCATCCTGAATTCTGGTGGCTATCACCCATCAGCCCCGCCTGTGGTGGGTCATGGAATTATATGGGAAATCTACCAATTTGCCAAGGGTGTCCCTGAGAGTCATCTGGACACATGACCACCTCCCTCTTACTCATCCTCCTTCCTCTTAGCTGGACTGCAAAACCAGCCCTGGGATGCCAGTGTTCCTGGTGACTGAGTTTACTGCTGCCTGCTGGGCTTCACTGCAGGGCTTCTCCTCCCTTTCAACTCTCTGGATCTCCAGTTTGGTCTACAGTTTCTGAAATCTGCATGGGAGGATGGCACCTGCCTCTACACTCTCGGACCAGTCTTAGACCTGGAATTATACAGCTCACTCCATCCCTAGCAGGGGGAATGGGGCAATGGAGCACAGACACTCACACCTTTACCACTTGAGGAAACGGGACCCAGAAAGCACAGGCCTTGTAGGGGTCCACTTGGTGGCTCCACCATAAGTTTAAGAATAAGGGTTTGGAATCCAATTTCCAGCCTGGTTTTTAGCAGTTTACTGCCACAACAGCAGGAAGATGAAGGGATTTGAAAGCTGGTCGCTAATTCCAAGGCAAGAATGAAGAACTCACGAGAGGGAAAGGGGTGCTCTCCTCCTCCTATGAGATGGGGGCTGAGTGGGGATAGATCTAGGCGAGAGAAGCATCTCTTGGAGCATTTTTGCCTCCCAACCCAGAGCATCTATGGTCACCCAAACAAGGAGCCAAGGCAGTCTGAGGCCAGGGAGGAGGAAAAGGAGGAGCCAGGGTCACGTCAGCAGGAGGGACTAGGCCAGTGATGGAGAGCCTTTCAGAGACCCAAACTGCCACCCAAAACTCACTTATTTATCATAAAGTGCCAACACTGTCATTAAACCTGAACACTGTTTTAGTTTAGAAAATACAACTCATGACATCATCACAGAGAGGGCTCTGCATACTCGCTGCGGCACTTGAGTGACAGGCTCCTCATCATGGGGCTACATGGGGAGGGTCCCCTTGATCATCTCCTCCATCCGGGAGCCTGACGGGAAGGTTCCAGTTCTACCTGTTCCCCAAGGGGAGCAAGCGAAGGTGCACTTCTCACTCTGGTCTTTGCCAGATGCCTCCCTTAGCCCTCCAGGCCTGACACCTGCAGGGCTGGCCCCTAGCGGTAGGCTGGGGGTCCTACCTTGTCGTTAATGAGGATTTCCATGGGGTTGTTGCCCCACTCGATGAGGACCAGTTCATTGGCCTGGCCAGGCACAGCATAGGAGAAGGGTGTGCCCACGCCTGGTGCTGCACTGGACTTGAGCCACATGCACACAGTGAAGGCATACATCTCCGGAAGGCTCTTCCGCACCTTGGCATACATGTAGTTGGTTCGCAACGGGAATGTGAGTTGGAATTTGTCTCCTGGGCGGTTGTCTTTCTGACCTAGGGAGGACACAACCCAAGTCCTGACATCTGCACCTTCGTATCTGAGTCGTGTTTGGTCCCCACCAAACCCTGTGATGCAGACAGGGCATGTGGCCAGCTGGCAAAAACACTGGGGCAAAGTCTCTGGCAGGTTCTCACCCCTGTATGGTGCCATCTCTGGGAAGGCGGAATGAGATGTGGTACAGGCTGGGGTTGTGTGCACCCAGACTTGGGCATGAACAGAGAAGGGACTTGTGTGGGGCCAGTGCATATCATCTACCACCTGGGAAGGTGCAGCGGGGGAGGGATGAACCAGGCTAGCTCCCCTCAGAGTAGCCCCTTTGGGGGCCGACCTGATTCTGAGTCTGTGATGGTGCTCACAATCCCTCACCGCGCCTCTTGAGCTTTTCTCCTGATCTTCAGCAGGTCAGCCAGGCTGCTGGTGCCTGCCCCGCAGGCCAGCGTGCACAATTCAGTGCAGCCTTCAGCAGGGAGCACTATTCCCTCCCCTGAGCTTTTCCAGGAACTGTGCTGAGAAGGCAGGACAGCAGGGACCCCAAGGTGACTTGGTTGAGGGCACTAGTCTCAGACAGCTTCCTGAAAACTGAGGCTCCTAGCCTGGTGGCTTCTCCCTTACACAAGGCCACCAGCTTCTGGCCTGCCAACCAGTGTCTCCAGGGATGTTCAAAGCCCCCACCCACCCCACACATGCCTGGTGTGACTAGCTCCTGGAGAAACACCACATGGAGCAGCAGGCACCCGCCGGAGCCCGGGACCACACACTGGGCCAGCTCCCGTGTGCACACCTGTGCTCCTGCCTTAAGCACACCAGAAAGCCATCCCCCAGGCCAAAAGGGATTTCCAGAAGGCATTCGGACAGGCCAGCAACCCCTTCCTCCTCAAAGGGGTCTGGGAGCAGAATAGGTCTGGCCCTCAGTGCAGTGCTCCCCTACAGTAATGCTTTAAGGGGAGGGAAGACGGGATCCAGCCCCTGGCTTCTCTCTGGGGTGTTTTTATTTCCTTCATCGCCCCTTCTTCCCTCCCCCTCCTTCCAGAGGTCCCTCTTTCCCCTGATCTGTTTTTCAGTTACATAACACGCCTTAAGATGGCACTGTTTAAATCCATCCGGCACATTTTGCAGTCCGAGCTGGGTCACGTGGCCCTGCTCCTCGCCGCCCCCTCCCCCCTTTTACAACCTTGTTTGATTTCTTCGACTTCAAGGCAGAGCTCATCCTTGCACCCGCCCCCGTGCTCAGGGCTAGCCTGAGTTGGCAAGAGGGGGGACACTGTGGGGGTGTGAGAGATATTCAACCTTGGGGTCACTCAGGAAAAAAAAAAAAAAACGGGGAGGGGTAGGAGATGGAGGGATTCAGGGTGAAGTGAGGAGAACTTGGTGATCCCAAGAGGATACCTGGACCTTGGAGAATCTGGACACAAACATGCCCAAGGGCTGAAATGGCCTCACGTTGCTTTTTGATGGTGAGAGACCAGTTAAAGCAAGGCTCTGCTAAGGGGGAGGGTTTGGGCCAACGACGGCTACTGTGCAAAGTTACTGAAGATTAAACAAATCAGACTTGAAAAATCCTGCGAGGATTTGAGTGTTTCTGAATGGGGGCGCACCATGCAATCCCATTCCTGCCTCGTTTCTTTCTCCTGAGAGGTCTCAAGCAGAACACCCAGCCGAACAGAACCTGGGAAGGGGTTGTGGGTGGAGGAGCTCCGGGGTGTGCCGACCGGAACTGGGCAGCACAGGGAGCCTGAACCAGATGGTGTTCCCAAAGGGAACCCAGGGGACATTATGTCCTCCCCCTAGCCCTTACCTTTCTCCAACTCGCTGATGCGCTGGTGCAGGGAGGTCAGAGCGCTCTCGATCTTGATCCTTTCCTCGGTGTCGTTCTTGGGCCCCCCCTTGCCCTCCTCCAGCGTGTTCACCCGAGACAGCACCTGCCGCTCCAGGTCATCGATCTTGCTCTGCAGCAGATCCTTGAGGCTGTTGGTCTGGCTAGAGGAATTGAGGCGGCTGTACTGCTGCGGGGCACAAGGGCAAGGGAAAGCCACACCATTACTGTAGAGCCGGATGAAGGGATGGAGCTGGGAGGCACGAGGCGCGGTACCCTGGGGCGACGCTGGGGGAGGCGTTCGGGGGAGCTGGATGAGTGGCTGCCTGTGGGGCTCCACAGGCTCGGGGTGATTCGGGCCGGCGCAAGGGTTCACCTGAGGCAGGGATTGGGGGATGCCAAACCAACTTGGTTTGGGGCAAGGGAGGGCAGAAGGGCGCACCACCCCGAGGGGAAAAGGCGGCTCACACGGACCTCGAGGTTCTCCAGGCGGGTTTTGAGCGACTGCAAAGTTTGCCCGAGTTGGCTGAGTGTCTCCGCAGCCGGTGTCCGGGACAGGTCGCCCATGGTGTTCTTGCCGGAGCCAGAGCCGAGCTGCTTGCGGCCGCCGCCTGTCCTGGTCTCTCCGGGACCCGCGTCCAGGGTGCTCTGACTCTCACAGCGGCCCAGCTTGGTGGTCAGCTCGCGGATGGTCTCCTTCTGGCTGAGGATGGTCTCCTTCTGCTGCAGCACGGTTTCCCGGAGCTGCAGCACGTTGCTCCGGAGCTCCTCCGCGCCGCCAGCGGCCACGGAAGCGGCGCACATGTCAGCGTCCACGGGCACCGAGGTGCAGATGAAGCGCGTCGGCCCGAAATCCTGGGCCCCAGTGCCCAGGAGGCAGAAGGCGAGGAGCGCACAGGTGCGCGCGGCGCGGCCGGCCAGCATGGCTGCGGGCACCTGGCGCGCCGGGCCCGGTTCGGCTCGGGTGGGGCTCGGCTCCTGCTGGGACCGGGCTCGGCTGTCGCTCCGCGGGCGGCCCGGGCTCTGGGCGCCGCGGTCCTCGCCGCCGCGCTGTCTGGCCCCCACTGCCGCCTGCGCTGCGGAGCCCGCGTCTTTTATGCTGCCGCGGGAGGTGGGGGGGCTCAGCGCCGCCGACGTCAGCGGGGGAGGAATCCTGCTTTAATTGTCTGCGGCCCGGACCCGCGGCGCGGCAGGGTCGCTCTAGAGCTCGGCTGGGGCTACCTCGGCCCGACCCCTCCCACTGCCTTCGCCCGCCCGCCCCCGCACGGGCAGCGCCGCTTCCCCGAAGGTTCCGAGAGCCCAGGGTCAGGGTGCTGGGGCCACCGGCCTGGCCATCTGCGTGGCGACCCCAATCCTCCCACTGGCTTCTGGGGGAGAGGTCCGGCCGGGGCCAAGAGGCGGAACGTGGTTCAGCTAGCCTGACTCCGTTGAACAACCGCAGGATCCGGACCTAGGACGAGCCCACGACTTCAAATAGTCTATGCAATTGTCCATGCCCGCTGGACAGCGCCGCGGGACTGCTCCACGTTTCTTAGGTGTATGTGTGTGTTTGAGAAGCAATGAAATACGCGGGTCTGGAGACTTCTTGTGGCCTGGTTCCCGGCTCTGCTGAGCTCTCCTCCGCAGCTCCGGGGCCTGGCCACCCCAAGGCCCCTACCCCGTAGGGTCAGGGCACCAGGAATTTCTTGGAAGCCGCCCTCGTGAATGGAACGGTCCCAGCCACTCGGACCGGCCCATTTCAGGACTGACCGCTCCTCGGGAGCTGGAAGCTCTTCCGAGGGGGCCGTCTGTGCCCGCGTGCTGCGTTTTCTGTTCCTGATGTGCCCCCCCAGCTTGTCTCACTTCTCGGACAGCGCGGGGAGTGGGGTAGGCAAGGGTCCTGGAGGTGGCAGGGGCGTCACACCTGCAGAGTCCACAGCTGACACTGTACTCGCAGACATCTCACCCCGCCGCCTACACTCGAGCTTCCTTCTGGTTTAGCGGCTCTGCCAGGCTCAGCTGTCTGGATTCCCAACCGGATTCTGATGCCCGGCCCAGTGCTGGGGACCAGAACCCGGGCCGATGTCCCGGCCCACGGAGATCAAAGAACCCAGAACGCCTCGGAAATCTACTCGCCCAAGTTCACGTGGTACAGAGGCGGAAACGGAGACAGGAGATTTCAAAGCCACCGTCTTGTGGGTCCCGCTGCCCTCCCCTCCCCCATTTCTTTATTCCAGTTCTTTTACTAGACTCAGCGATTAGCCAGGCAGGGTCCCTCCCTGAGGCTTTCAGTTTCCGGGTACTCAAAGGCAGCTCCGGCGGCTGGGCATCGCCTTGCGCGGGTGGAGGGCGTGGAGCAGAAGCCAGCTGGATGGACGCCACGGCTTCCTGCAGCCTCCAACCCCGGAGCATCCTTCTCGTCCGGGTCTCAGTCTCGAACCGTCCCCAGTCCCAGGCTGCAAGACGCCGCGGCCCCTGAGCATCCCGTGCTCCTTCGGCCGCCACTTCTGGGCGCCAGAGGGACCCCGAGGCCGGCACGCTGCTGTCCTCGATCCGCGTGGGGAGGGCGTACAGGTTCCCGCCCCAGCAGCCCCACTGCCTACTCTCAGGCTCAGACACCCGCCACTCAGGGGCTCCCCACTCGGGCGCGCGCCCTGAGAGTCTCGGGCTGGTTTATCCGGAGCAGCCCTGCCACTTCTGCCCTCCCCCCGCCCCGCGCGCCTGAGTCGGTCGGAAGAGGGAACCCTACCCGCCCCCGGGCCAAGGCTCCCGGCGCTCCCCCACGCATAAACCGCACTCCAGTCTCCAGCGGGCCCTGGGGCTAGGCTGTCCCGGATGAGGGCGCGTGGGCACGAGAGTGGAACAGGCTGTGTGGGTGGAGCAGGCACCCTCCACCAGGCCTTGCGTCCGAAGCCCACGAGCGGCTGACGCTCACCGCAAACGAGCAGTCCCCAGGGCCTGGCACCTTGCCACTTGGGTTCCCAGGATGGGTCTGCCCTTCGCAAGGGACGAGGGCGCGACGCCAAGAGGGAGGGAGGACGTGCACAGCAAGGAATCCAGGCACAGCGGGAGAGCGGCGGGGCTCGGGCCTGGGCGATCTGGGGGAGGGAAGACCCGTGGTCTAGTCGGCTGCCACTGTGAAGCGCTGTGTCGGTCCGCCAGGAGGCGCTGTGCGGGACGCCTACGGGCTCTGCTGGGACCCTGGAGCGGGAAGATCGCATTGTCGCGTTCTTCTACCCTCTTTAAGTCCACTTCCTTGGGCAATCGGGAGTCCATCCTAGGTGTGTTTAGAGTTCCCTCTGCTCCAGACGGTCTGGAAGCATCTGGAGCCTCCGGGGCAAGGGGTTGAAGTCCCCTAGCCAAACCCAAGGGATCTGCTGCCGGGTGATGAAAACGGCGCACTGGCAGCCTCTTGTGTGCACACACTGTTCTCGGTGCCTGGCATGGGTCCCACACCTCAGACCTACGGGCTGAGACCCGGAGGAAGATCTGTAAGAGTCCTCCCAGCTGGGTAAATGTGATTACCTAGAGACATGACCTAATTAACACTGGGAAGCTAAGCACACATAGAACACTGTTATGCCCTCCATGCCCATGCAGCTGATTTAAAGCATAGATAACAGTAATGGTGCAATGATTAATTAATTAATTATTTTTTTCAGTGCCGGAGATTGAACTCAGGACCTTGCACTTGCCAGGCAAGTGCTTATTCCACTGAGCTATCTCCCTGGCTGTAATGGTACAATGATTAGGCAGTGATGCATCTTGAACATTTATTATTTTAGCTTTTAATATGTATTTAAGTACACGTTTATATAAACTTGTGTGTGTTTGTGTGTGTGTGTGTGTAATGAGGGATTGAACCCAGAGCCTCCTACATTCCAGACAAATGCTCTATATCATTAAGCTACACTTCTGGCTCGTGGTTTTTTTTTTTTTTTTTTTTTTTTTAAACAGGGGCTCACTACATTACCAAAGAAGGGAGGTCTTGAGCTTGCAATCCTCTTGCTTCAGTTTCCTGATTAGAGGGGATTAACAAGGATGTGCCAAGGGGCTTGGCTGCAATTGGTGGCTGTATTTATCAATCAGCTTGTAAAATTCCTGAATCTCCAATGGCTCAGCACACTGCTGGTGGGAGAAGTGTGGGAGGGAAACCTTTTCATTTGTGGAAGGCGAAGGGAGAGGGGAGAATACAGCCTAATAGTGGAAAAGGTGGGTATGCACACAAAACCAAAACAGGAGAGCTGTGCAGGGTTGTGAGGGTCCACTGCCCACCCAGGGTGTTTGCCTAGTGAACAGTGGGAGCCCATGCAGGGTGTGTCCAGGCCTCAACCTGCAGCATCTGTGAGGCCTGTCCTCTTTCAGTGGCAAAGCCATGAGTAGGTCTAGATCCATCACTTTGAGAAGCAGAGTTCCTGTTAGCAGTTGTCTTAGTTACTTTTCTTGTCTTTGGGACAAAACACTTGACACCCACATTAAAGGAGGAAAGGTTTATGTAGCTCACAGTTTGTAGAGGTTTCAGCCTGTCATTGGCTGGCTGCACTGCAGAGCGGGGTGGCTCGGCAGCGAACAGTTCATGGCACCCACAAAGCAGCAAAAGCAACAAGGGGGACACAAGGCTCTGTCCTTTATATTGTATACAGGCTACCTGTCTTTGGGTGGTTGTAGCACTCTCAACCTTAATCCCAGCCAGAACCATATATACCAAACCAATCAGGGGACTGTGTTACTAATCACACACCCTTAATCCCAGAATCACCCACTCTTGATTCAGCCACCTCTGAAAAAACCCAGTGACCACATGAGGCTTTAGGGGACAGCTAAACACAAACCATAACAGCAGCGATGTGTTCTCAGCAGGGCAATTGCCCATGCTCTGTGCTCTTCTAGTGTGAAGACCCACAGTGTCTTTTGCAGTAGCTGCCCCTGCAGAAAAAGGATGCACCAGAGGGAAGTGGGGCCTGAGGAGAGGCCTGGTGTCTTAGTTACTTCTGTCTTGTTGCTGAGACAAAATATCTGATGTCCAAAATTAAGGGAGGAAAGGTTCATTTAGCTCATAGTTTGTGCAGGTATCAGTCAGTTGGCTGCAAGGCAGGGTGGTGTGATATGGAGCAACAGTTTATGGCAGCAGAACACAGCAAAAGCAACAAGAGCAGAAGTGGGGCTGGTGAGATGGCTCAGTGGTCTAGGGCACCTACTTGGAACAGGCTTGGCGGAGCACAGGGACCACGGTTCAATCTCCCAGCACCACATGCCAGCCCGCCCCGCCCCTTGGCGGGCTGAGCTGGCCACACACACACACACACACACACACACGAATAAATAAATATTTTTTTTTAAAAAGAGCAAAAGGGGTAAAAGGGAGAAACAAGCCCCTTTACCCCCCTTATATTGCATGCAGTCTACCCACTCCAGGGTGGGTGCAGCACTCACACTGCCAATCCCAGCACTAGACAATGAACCAATCACAAGCTAGATTCAGTCATCTCCAAAAAGCCCACCCCCCAGGAACACATGAGGCTTTGAGAGGACATCCCAACACAAACTGTAAGACCTGGGGTCCCTGCTGGTCACAGCTGTGGGACACACTTAGGCTTACCATGGAGCCAGGGGCAGGCTCCTCTGGAGGCCGCATGATGGGTCACTCTGCGTTGTGCCAGTGCCACCTCTGGGATGGGCAACACTGTCCCGTGAAGTAGATGGTGTTTTTAGTTCCCTGGGGTGTTGTGCAGTCATTTTACAACCTGTTTCTGTTTTCAGCAGCTCCTATTTGCTAGCTATGGTCACCTTCTCCACCTCAGTGCTAGTCTCACAGGGATATTCACTTTGGGACAATTCACTGGGCTGTCCAGGTACCACTTGCACGTTCCTGTATGGTTATATCCCTCACACCAGGGGCATGGGGACAGTGTCCATAGACTGTCCCCGAAGTAAAGAAGAGGGCTTCAGGATGCCACCAGGGAAGAGTCCATAGAGGCTTCTGGGAGTTGAGTTTTCAGGACACAGCCAGGCTGTGCTTTGCTCCCCCGCTTGTGAGGCAACCCTGAGGCCAACAGGTGGGTGTGGGGCTGCTC